CTTTGTTGCTCAAATGCAGTAATGATTCAGGAGGTATGTGAGTTTGAAGATTAGAGTCACAGCTGTCTCTGGATTTCTAAATGTCTAGGGTTTAAAAATCTTCCATTTATTGACCACTCACAAAGAGATTTAAAGTGGTGTTCAGTTACTTACTTTAATTAAAAAATAACCAAATAACCTCGTATTTAAATATTATTGATGTTGATTTGCTAATTCATATACCTATGTATATCATATTATATAATTTGAATATCATAAATGTTAATGAAGAAATTGTGTGTGTGTGTGTAAACAAACATAAAATACATGCATCGGTAAAATTAGGGCTAGCAATTAGCGAGACAATGGGCATCTCTCATCTCATGACACCCAGAGGGGGAGACAGAGTGAACTATGTCATGCGTGTGCATATATTGCTCCTCCAGAAACCTCAGACTTCTAGTGCTTGACATAATGGCAGATAAAATGAAAGTGGGAAAAAATGTGGCAATACCAAGGAGCAGGCACATGAAGAGTGTATGCTTTGCTGATGGACATTCAATGATATTTATTTTTAACAGCAATGCCAACTAAATATATCCACCTAATTAATTCACCTTCTCTAAATATTTAATTTGATGCTTATCAATACCAGTACCAAAACAAACTGCTTTCCTCCAATGCTTTAGAAGTCATATTTGTATGAGAATATATTTCTTGGATTCCAAGGTAAGTTTAAAGGCCAAATAATTATAGTCAGTTTCAAGGGGAAAATAGAATTTGGAATTTATTCAACTTTTCTTTATGTGGTTTAAAATGTTTGAGAGCACTGCTCAGACACTGGGCCTGCCTAGATAGTCCATCACGGACATTGTTGCAGAGAAGCAGAAATGGTTCTCTAGCAAAACTCTTACTTTAATGGTTCTCAGTCTTTATTTTTTAGCCTCACATATAATGTATCAAGTTCACATCTGCCACACAGGCCCATGGGTTTGCACAGATTACTGTTGTACTGTTGGGCCACAGATAAATAAGGTGACGGCCATTTAAAATTCCCTGTGTATCAGCTGTAATTTTACCTCTTTTCTTGCCTACATAAATAGGCATATCCCTTTACTGCATGACAATGGCAGTAAGGTGTTATAGACAAAAATCTTAATGTACTCCAATATGTATTTTAAAGCAAATCATTCATATTGTTAAGTATATCACGTTTATTTACAAATTATTTTCCATACAATTTAAAATGGATTCTTACCTGTAATCTGAAAGGTCCACACTCTGGGTTAAGAAAATGATAAAAGCAAAAGCCATATAGCAAGAAAGAATAAAGTAAAACAAAAGCATCATTAACAACCAAACCTGTGTTACTGCACATCTGCAGATAAACAAGGCTTTCTCAATGAAGGAAGGCTGAGAGCCACTCACCTGGTAGTCACATAGCATCCATGTGAACACCTTTCCACAGCAAAGATGAATATTTTTGCATTTGTGTCATGTTATGCTAAATTAAAACAGCCCAAGTCTTCAAAGAAATTTGCAGAGAACCCAATAATTTAAAACACAAATATTTGAGAAAATAAATGACTCTTTTTCTTTTTGCAAATGATGACTTGTAAATCATAGTTCAATGCATGAGACCTCTTAGACCATAGAACCTTCTACTATTGGGTCTTTACATTCAGGAAGTTGATTCATTTTTCCCTCCAGGCACAGAATCCACCAAAAAATATAAGCACACATACATTTTTTAAATCCTTAAATTGGCTAATTGTTAACTTTCGCTTTTACTTTTATGTAGAACCTTCAGAATATCAACTCAAACCAGAGATCGATCACCAAGCCAAATACCCGGAGGACTCATGGTTCATTAAGAATCTTGGATCATTAACAATCACTTCCTTTCAAGCAGGTCTTTCTAGCCAGTCAACAGAATATCCTGTTCGTCATCAATAAAGAAAATGTTAAGAAGGGTTTAATGATATTGTATCATTAAGGATAATAATGTAAGGCATAATAATATGACAGGTGTTCGATTTATTTTTCTTTACAAGTTATTAACTATAAATAAACAGTGATATCTTTTATGAGACCAATACAGAATTACAGAATTGCCCTTGAAGGCAAAAAGTGTTATCTTAAATTACAGTCTACATGATTTATTGCATGATAAAATTTGAATCTATAAAATGGTAATTAGCTACGTCATAATATGACATGTTAGCAGGGTTTTTTTCTGATCAATTTAAAAAATTCCCATTAACTTGACTAAAGAAAAATGCTAATAAAATACATAGTTTGGCCCTGACCAATTTGGCTTTGTGGATAGTGTCGGCCTGCAGACTGAAGGGTCCCAGGTTCGATTCCGGTCAAGGGCATGTACCTTGGTTGCGGGCACATCCCCAGTAGGGAGTGCGCAAGAGGCAGTTGAATCAATGTTTCTCTCTCATCAGTGTTTCTAACTATCACTCTCCTTCTCCCTTCCTCTCTGTAAAAAATCAATAAAATATATTTTAAAAAATACTTAGTATGTTTTTATTTGTATATCTTATATACAGATTAGATAAATTATTAGCATTGACTTTAAATTCCTAAGCATATTCATTTAGATGACTAGTCTTAAAAATTGCAAGAGGTATCTTTGGTTTTTTAAAATTTAATACTGTTGAACTTTACTTTTTAACTTGATGTCTGTATTTTTTATTCATAAAGCTGTAAAGCAACTAATTGGTTGAAACATCTGTGCATCTTAATAATAATATCTTTTATTTATTTATGAATTTAATTTTTTCTATGCTAATTATGAACTTCTGCAATAACAAGGTAACAGGATACTTGTTACTTTATTGTTTCCAAATTGTGACTTTTGGCTTGGTTTGACATCAGAGTATAATTGTGATAAAAAAATTATGGAAAAGTTGTTTATTAAGTTTTTGATGCATGTATGTTTTCAAAGTGCAATCATATTTGGATCCATTGATAAGAATAAATGCGGTATTGTGTTTTTTTTTATCAACAGAGACACAGACATTCAATAACCCATGCATACAAATAATTAGTAACATTCTGTATTTATAATTAAAAGTCAAATATTTTCTGTCTGTTTGATGTCATCTATTGCTGTTCACTACACTTCAGATTAAATTATCTACATTAAATTACATTTGAAGTTAACATTTGGCTATGCTTACTCAGAGTAATTAAAAAAGCCTTCCTTTATCTTTTAAAACAGGAAGGAATAACTTGGTGAGTTATAAATCTCCCTCAAGGAGTTCTCCTCATTCCAGTGGCTGTTAACACTCTAAGTTAACGTGAAGAGAATGTGGGCACTTCCATCTCCAAAACTGACATTTAATTTGGTTTGCTAACGCCCGGGAAAATGTGAACTCTTCTCCGGAAAGCTGAGGGAAGAAATGAAGTTGCTTTTAGAAATATGTTTGTGTTGAGCAGAGAAGGGAAGGACAGAGCATGAAGGAGAAGGACCCCCTTAAAAACAATCTTGTCTCTAGGCTAGCAAGAGTAAGCAAGCCATTCTGGGCAGAACTGCAGAAATAGTAATC